CCTTAATGGACCATGCACAATGTTCATCATAAATGTTTAACACAAATGTTTACACCTTTGTTTTACAGTGATGCCCACCAACAAAGGTCCTGCTCCTGTTGCAGCACTGTAAATTGCTTACAAACAGGCAAGAAAGAACCAAAACCGCACAGCAGTCGTAACGGGAAAATGCAGAGGCATGGAGAAGGTGGAACTACATAGGCAGGTTTCCTACATGCAGACGCACTGTCTCTTCGTACATTTCATATATGCTCAAGGCCTCTCCCAGGACCTGCGCACTCCCAGGCACAGGTTCAGTTGAAGGATCACCTTCTCAAGTACTGAATTCTGCAAAGACTAGTAGCGTTTCCAGTCCTTTACACGGTTTTTCCTAGGCAACAGTTTTGACTTTTAAGTTTCCTCCATCTCCCCAAAACAAATCACTCTTCCTTACAGTGTGATTAATTCGTAAGAGCAGCAGTGGAATATATACAGGGATTTATCCTTCTAAAATATATCTTTGTGCTAAATGATAATTTGCAACATGATCAATAAGCTTAGCATGCATTGTTTGGCAACGTACCTGTCCAATTCCAAGAAATATTGGTGATGGAAAGCTGAAAAACATAAATGCACACTTAAATCAGAGTTAAACAAAACAAAAAGTTCAAAATTAGCACCAACATGCCCAGCTGGACATGTGGATGACTGGCTAGAATTTCAAAAAAGCTGAGAAACTGCAGCACTTCTTGGAGTCCTAGCTGCAGCAAGATGCAAGCCACATCTAAATAATACAGCACACACACTGTTCACCAAGTTTAGAGAGTCAGTTGCTTTTCATATATTTATAAGTAAAGGTTTCATACTTAGAGAACTGTCAAAAAGTGTATTTTTTTGAGAGGCCTCACATACACAAAATACCCTAAAACTGTGCAGTCGATTAAATCTCTTGCACTTGTCTTCACTTGGAAGCTTATCTTCCCGGCCGAGCAAGCTTAGCAGCATGTTTCCACAGAGGAAGAGCGCCCGTGTAAATGCTGTAGAAACACTTACTGCCTCCTAGAAAGGCTAAACACCTGCTCACCGTTCCAGTGAGCTTCTGCTGTGAGCAGGATGCTTCAATGTTAAGAAAGCAGAAGATTAAGCAGGACACAGCGAGTGCCTCCAGGATGCCTTATCTCTCCCCCAAGCCCCGCTCCAGTTAAAACAAGAATAAAGCTGTGGCAGTAAGTGCTGATTCTCTTCGTACGTAGGGAGATTATTCAGTATGGATAACCAGCAGAGTTCAGAGCATCTCCGACCAAAAGCTTTAGGCACCAAGAAGCTCCCTAAAGAGAACTGCTGTTGCCTTCCAGGAACCAGGGTGCACCCTGCTGCACCGCGTCCTCTTGG